CCCTCCTCTCCCCCCCAAAACTCATCCGATCACCTACCCACTCCTACCTGCATAACTTGTGCTTGTGCTTAGTACTGCTCCTCCGCCCTCTATATCTCTCTCCGCCTCTCCTTCTGCAAACAATTGCCTTGTGCTTGTGCTTAGTACTGGCTCCTACACCCTCTTTCTCTCTCTCCGCCTCTCCCTCTCCCTCTCCCTCTCCCTCTCCTTCTCCCTCTCCCTCCCTCAACCCCTCTCTCTCTCGCTCTGTCTACTCCTTGTCAGGCAAACGGTGGTCGGGCGAACACTCGTGACCACCACAAAGATAGTGCAGGCAAGCTGGCATTCACATGTGGCGCAGTCCCGACGTGGCACTGTCCCGACGTGGGGCGGTCCCGACACCTGGGGCAAGTCCCGACCCATTCTGTTGACTAGCCCGGGGCCAAAGACAAGTCAATCGGCAGCCTGAAAATGAAAAATTATTTTTTAAAAATACTAAGAGGAGCCGGATGACGTACGAAGGACTAAAGAGGAGCGAAGTTCCTACCCACTTGGAAGGCAACCATTAAAAAAAAAAAAAAAAAAAAAAAAAGGATTGGAGGGTGGAGTGAAGGAGGAAGAAGAGCAAATCCTCCTCCCCTACCACCAAAACACAGCAAAAAAGAAAGAAAGAGAAGAAAAAAAAAGAGCGCAATGCAATGTGCATCCTTTAGCAGGAGGTGGAAAAACGGAATAAGACTCCAACAAAAAGTTAAAAAACTCGTCAACGCAGTTATTACTTCCTTATGGACAACCTGGAAGAGGGAAGAGAGGGGAAAGATAGGGATAAAAGCTCCTTCCTCTCTACACTTCCCTCTTTGTTAGGCCTACAATCTGTCAATCGAACGAGCACACGCTTGTTAGGCAAGCAATCGCTTGGACTGTATGTCATAAGAGGGTCACCAAAATAACAAACCAAAACATCAAGCGTCCAAAACACCCACCACCTCTGAAACCACCTCCAACCACTTAATCACCACTACACACAACCTTCTCCCCTGCACCATCTTCCAGCACATCCTCCCTCGTTCATCACCGTGAAGCAGAAGCAGAAGCAAATTCCCTTCCACAACCTCTCTCTCTCTCTCTCTCTCTCTCTCTCTCTCTCTCTCTCTCTCTCTCTCTCTC